GGGAATGGTTTGGGATTAATGAACCACCTGCCTGAGCTGGGAATGGCTGGGATAAGTTGATCCGGATTTTATTCCATAAAAAACCCTACGAGGATTTGAGAGAGTGCCAGGAGAGGGGAAGGAGAACGGGAAAGGAATGGAGACGTGGAATTGTGGGATGGTTTGGGATTAATGAACCACCTGCCTGAGCTGGGAATGGCCGGGATAAGTTGATCCTAATTTTATTCCATAAAAAACCCCGCTGGGATTTGGGGGTGAGTGCCAGGGGAGGGGAAGGAAAATGGAAATATGGAATTGTTGGATGGTTTGGGATTAATGAACCACCTGCCTGAGCTGGGCATGGCTGGGATAAGCTGATCCCGACCTTATTCCATAAAAAACCCCCACTGGGATTTGAGGGAGTGCCAGGAGAGGGGAAGGAGAATGGGAAAGGAATGGAAATATGGAATTGTGGAATAGTTTGGAGATGTGGAATTGTGGGATGGTTTGGGATCAATGAACCACCTGCCTGAGCTGGGAATGGACGGGATAAGCTGATCCCGACCTTATTCCATAAAAAAAAACCCCACTGGGATTTGGGGGTGAGTTCCAGGGGAGCTGCTGGCTCATGGAGGGGAATGGAAACATGGAATTGTGGAATAGTTTAGAGATGTGGAATGGTTTGGGATCAATGAACCACCTGCCTGAGCTGGGAACGGATGGGATAAGCTGATCCCGACTTTATTCCATAAAAAAAAACCCCACTGGGATTTGAGGGGGAGCACCGGGGGAGAGGACGGGAATGAGAAAGGAATGGAGACATGGAATTGTGGGATGGAAATGTGGAATTTGGGGTGGAAAGGGCTGGAAAGGTGTTGTGGTTCCAACCCCGTTTTCCAGAGGGAAGGATGTGCCGGGATCAATCCAAGATGGACTCGGACACTTCCAGGGATGGAAAATCCGCGGTTTCTCTGTGGGTAATTGGGATAATCAGCAGGAAAACTTGGAAGGGAGAGATCTGGAATTACCTGGGAAAATCCCTGGCACTACAGGGAAAAATCCTGGTTAATAGATGGAAAAATCCCTGGTAATTACATGGAAAAAATCCCTGTGGAAAAATCCCTGGCACTACAGGGAAAAAAATTCCTGGCACTACATGGGAAAAATTTCTATGGAAAAATCCCTGTCACTACATGGAAAAATCATGGAAAACTCCCTGTAACTACATGGAAAAAAATCCCTGTTCCTCCATGGAAAAATCCCCATGGAAAAATCCCTGGCATTACCTGGGAAAAATCCTTGTCAATACATGGAAAAATCCCCGGCACCACATGGAAAAATCATGGAGAAGATCCCAGGGAATTCCAAAAATTCCCGGGAATGTAACGACATTTTCCCTCCTAAACCCAAAGCACGGCACAAGATTCCCAGAGGAATCATTCCCTAAATTATTCTTCAAGCTGGAAAATGGGAATGACACTCGGTTTGACACGGAATGA